TAGTCCAATCAAGCTTATCTTTACGTAAAGTATACTAATGTTGTTGTCTAGTCCAATCAAGCTTATCTTTACGTAAAGTATATAATGTTGTTGTCTAGTCCAATCAAGCTTCTCTTTACGTAAAGTATATTAACGTTGTTTTAAATAAAATATTTTCTATCGCTGTGTACTAGGCTTTTTGATTAACACAAAAACGAATACGACATGCTGACCATAGGTGCTTAGCTGAATGACCATTTGTGGTGGTCATAAAATATTACACTACAATTCCAGCCTGTAATTGAATGTAATATACAAAGTGGATATATTGATGAAAAGTACGTAAGGATCGTTGACATTATTCTATTTCACTTTTAATGGTCATGTTGACAGCTTTTTAAAGGATTACCTGCTAATATAAGAGACTGACATGAAGAACAACGTAATTTTTGTGGTCACATTTTGTCTAAAGTAAGGTTTCTGCCGGAAGCAGTATTCTGAACAGCAGAAACGATAACTTCTTTCACTAATACGTATCCCCCAAAATGTCGAAATTAATATAATTATTCATGTCGTTAACATGTACCATCACTTAGTCAACGTCAAGCATTGTTTTGGAAGGTTCAACCAGAAAACAAAGTAACGTTTTTATCAATTTTGGGTCGTAATAATAATCATACAAACAGTAATAAGAAGGGTGCCTTTTCATAGCATCCAATATCTGCTGTTAATTTGACTAACCTGTTGTCAATACAAACAAGTATTTTAAATATATTCAATTGAATGTTTGTTTGTATATAGACTCGGGATAATTAAAAGCGTTTGTAGGGGGTTCGTGCACGCTCGTGACCTATGAACACGATGCCACCTATTGCTACGTTCTCCACTCACTCCTTCGTTCCAAATTTTATTATAACCCAATGTATGTTTTAGTGCCCCCTTAGAGAAAGTATGTGTGTAAAAATTCTCAAGTTGTGGTTCGCAGTAGGTAATGGTAGGATATTTTAACCATGTAAGCTCTTAAAATGTTACTTCTTATCATGGAGAAGTATATCACGGTTGTCGGAATTTCGATCACAATGGCTACTTTTTAAACCATCAGATATTTGGGATAAGATGTTTCAGTCTTTAAAATAATCACTGTTTAAAGTTTATGGTATTTAATAGTTTCACAAGTAATATAAGTTTCTGATCCTATTTGGACAACTGAAATATGGATGATATTAATAGAAACAATTGTTTTAGTTTTAAATATCTAAGAGCAGATCCGGCTCCAGTTTTGTTTTTTTTTTAACTGTGAGAACCAGCGAGACATACAATGAAACCAAACCTACAATGAGATAAACGAACGGCATTAGCTTTGGGGAGAA